AGAAGCATCAATTCCAGTGTCATACCCAATTCTAACGTGCACAACCATATGACAAGGCACATTTCAAATCTCCCGCTTATTCCTAAGGTCAGATCGACATATTATGGGCTAAAAACTTCTTACTATAAACCTATTAAGGTCTACAATAGCATTCCCGTACACCTAAAGGTAAATTATGAGACCTCTTTTAAAGATAAATTAAAATCTCATCTCTTCAGCCGTTTTGCCAACTCTTAGTGCCATTCTTCCTCGCTATCAGCTGTGATCTAGTTGTCCTGTACTAATCTGTAAGTTATCCTGTTTATGCTTCAGTCTTTGTTAATTTCTCTAGTATTTTTCTTTTTGTTATTTACTGTATATTTTTTGTAAATTTTTTGTTTTTTTGAGCACCTTGCCACCGTTACAAATGTGTAAAGTCCACAACAGGGTTCGCCCTAAGGACATGTACTTTACTTAAAAAAAAAAGCACATTAAACAACTATAAAAATACATGCTTTAGATTCTCCAAGCACTTCTTGCCTGTCGAGAGTAAATCTTGAATTGTTTTAAAGACAAAAAAGGACGTGGATTGGCAAGGCAGAAGAACAGTAGGGGTTATCCTTCATGCCAGGCCTAGTATCTCTCACCTCTAACGTGGTGGAATGCCACCCCAGGTGCAGGGGCAGGTATGGGTTCTGGAATACATCACAGTACCGGGTGGTGTTGCTATGTTAAACACGAGCAGAGGGTGCAAATGGTCCAGAGAGTGCCTAAAGGCCTAAAGCCACATCCCTGATGTGTCTACCCAAAGGTGATCTCACCCTCAACCATTGCCACCCCCAAGAACGATGGGTCAAAAGGTCTTTTCAGGGGTCATTTATTACCATGGGCAAAACTTCAACAATAGAAAAGATCTATTCGTCAATTGATTTTTCTTCAAAAATACAGAGATACCGCGTTGTCATTCATTTCGTCGGAATCACAATGGAATAACAGGAAAAGTAGCGATATACATCGGCAACTTTGGCCCGTCCCGTACATTTAGTATGTGTGAATTTCGCTATTGTTTAACCCTAACGGGATTTGAACCTCAGTGTGGGGTCCAAATTTATGTTATTTTCGTCATCAGCACCTTCAAAAACATCAGAAACAATGCAAAAACTCGAGTAAAAAGAATGTTGAAAATATACCCCACTGGGATTTGAACCCGGGTCCAAACTTCTCCAATTCACTTGAAACTGGCACCGTTGGTTTTTTCTCGTCGCCCTGATTCCAAAAATACCCCTACATGTCCTGCTAGCTGTATCCGTTGCCGAAATCCCCTTCGACCCCATGTAGACCATGATGCACCTGCAGCAGCGCCCCCGGGGCTCGGATCGGATTTGCTGCCACCGGGCGGTTCTTAGGGTCACCCACGGTGTAGAGAGATTCGGTGGCGGCACGGGGCTATCCTTCCCATAGCGCGCGCTGTCCCCCAAATCGGGGACGGATTAGGGCACCCGCCAGCCACCAGTATCGCCACTGTCGCCCGGGGGCCAACTACGACGCTCGGCGCGCGTAGCTGCGGTCGGGGCGGCCGATGCCAGCGGCCGGCCGCCTCGGCTCAGCTTCGCGCGGACGAGCTGCGTATCTCGGCCCGCAACTACGCCGCGCCACGCTCCGATCGGCTCGGCCCTGCTCGGCCCTTCTCGGCTCGTCGTTCGGCAAGCGCGCTGCACCGTGCTCGGGTTGACGGTCCCTCCGCGCGAAGCTGACCGGAGGCGGCCGGCCAGCTGCATCGGCCGCCCCGACCGCAGCTATGCACGCCGAGCGTCGCAGTTGGCCCCCGGGTGACGGTGGCGCTTCGCTTGGTGGCCGGCGGGCGCCCTAATCCGTCCCCGTTTTCGGGCCGGCCCAGGCGGGCCCGTGCCGCCACCGAGTCTCTCTACACCGTGGGGTCACCCAAGGAGGCTGCATACCAAATTTGGTCAAGATCGGACCACGGGAAGTCCTCGGACGAACGAACGGACGGACGGACGGACGGACGGACGGACGGACGGACGGACGCACAGCAGGGATCATACTATATGCCCGTCCCTCCGTCATTTTTTTACAAAAAAAAAACGGGACGGGCCAAAAAGCCTACACTGTTGAAGTCTTGCGAACACAAATTTGGGCCTCCATACTTGGCAGTCATTGATTTCCCCAAACAGTAGGGACTGTCATAAAAAGTCACTGAACCCATCCCATGGAAAGACGATATTCTCTTCGTCCACTCGCTCGGTAAGCCAAAACAAGCAGGTTTATCTAAGTTTGGATTGCACAAAGAGAGCGAATCGCACCTCTATGACGTTTATGTTCATAAAACTCAAAGCAACGACCTGGGTTCTCCCGTGAACAATGAGACAAGGTCAAGCGGTGAGTAAAAAGCTGCCACGTGCCTCACCGCCCCGCGGTACTGATTTTCGAACGCCTCAATTGCGTCACCCGGAATGCAGCCATCGGGGCAACCGCATTGCAGAGCAGCACATGGAGTTATCCCGCAGTCTCCCGAGTGATGCAAACCATCGCCGCAGGCGCAGATCTTCGCCTCGCACTTTCCCTGGAGGCGGCTGACCAGGGCGTCGAATCGAGGTTTAAGCACAGGACTGACTGCAGACGGTAAATGCCCCTCGGCGAAGTCCGAGCACTGCGTCTCGTCTTTGTTGGTCAGGAAGAAATGAATAGTTTGAATCGGACAGCATTCTGAACTCACTTTGCTGAACGTCACCACAACGCTGACGACAACAAACACTAATTTGGACATTTTTGACACGAGATTTCGGCACTACTCAAAGAACAGTATAAACTGCACGGATGGGAAATGTTAACAACAACTTCCGAGATTTCACATATTCTCGTGGGCCGCCTTCACTGCTGCCTTCAAAGGTTCGTTTCAATGACGTCTTATTTCGTCTTCACTGCACCTTCAATGTCGATAGAATAACGCTCCACCAACACAGTCCGCCTTTTATTCTGAGGCCGAGTGCGGTGAAGATGTATTGACCCGCGATGATGGTTATGACCACTCTAACTTTATCTCTTCACTCTGAACTTTTAACCTCTTTCGCGTGGAGTGCCAGCAAGCAGTCCGAGTAGGAGAACCAGGGCAGGCAGGAGACCTTGGGCAAAACATTCCAAACGGAGGATAAGTTAGCCCACTATAAAAAGAGGTCGTCAGCTCAGAAGACCTCAGTCGTTGCCAGGCCACGATACGGTGCTTCACGGACGTTCTTCGCGATTACTGTTGCTACCGACCTATTTTTACGGCAAGTCTAGTGCCTACGATCCAGGGACAAGATATGGCAGAGACCGCGTGCGAAACAATTTTCACAGGAGCAGAAACGGGAAACGCCTGAACACCTGTATTCGTATAGGAGACCTTCTATCCCGATGAGGCCAGGGCCTGTAAGTGGAACGGTTTCCGCGCCACTTGTACCACTTGGCTGCCTCAGCCTAAAACAGAAGGTTTTCAGTTACTTTAGCCAGTGTCCGATCAACTAGGAATAGTCTTGTATTTTAAACGGGTAGTTTTCCCCAACTTTAGGGAGGCATTCTGTTGTGAAGGACCGTCGGGTAATTTCTTTCATGTGGTGTAGTAACAGAGACAGCTAAAGGTGGGCTTTGCTCTTCAAAAGTGCAGGACAAAGCATCCAGCAATACTTATTCCCTATGTCGAACGAATCACTTGCCTGTGGTTTTGTTATTGTTGCAAACTTAAAGTTCATTTATGAAAGGAATCTCATTCAACATTTTCTGATCTTTTCTTACAGGATAAGGAATTAAGCGCAAGAACATTCATCTGAAGTAAAATGGCAAAGCTACTTGGGTTCATTATTGCCTCAATGGTAATTCTTGCTCTGTTTTCGCACTGTTACGGAGATACAACTTTTGGCTCCCTTCAAATGTGCATGAGTGGTTGCCGGAGTCATTGCGGAACACGCCCTTGGTCTTGTATGGAATTACGTACTCCTACTCCAAAGTACTCCAAACGCGTCGCCAAGGATCACCGATGCCATTGTTCATGAATCGACGGTTGCAAGGACACGACGGTGAAACCCAAACGTCCGGACCAAGAAACAAACACAATGTGTCCAAAGTCGTACATTTGTGAACTTGACTTGACCTTTAATGTTAAAGTGACGTTTATGGGTCAAAACTGAACGTCTACCCAAAAGATTGTAAAGTGACTTTCATCATCGTAATAAAAAAAAATTGAAGCAGGTTATCCTTTTTCTTTTCACCCGAAAAGTCACCAAGCACCTTTTGACACTCAAACGGCGACTTAAAGAAAAAACGATCGCCTCCTGCAAGCTCTCAAACAGCAGGTGATGCTGCAAATTGGGCCATGGACGTGTTGCAGTGCGGCCATCACAGGGCCGGGACACTGGCCATCACTGGGCAAACTGTACTGATATTTTGGTTAAATTTTCTCAAAGAATAAATTTTATTTTGCTGGTTTTTAACCTGGGGAACCTTTACTTTATTCTTCTTGTATGTTCCTGAAAATTTTCATAGTGGTACGATGTGCGGGACACTTAGTAAAGGGTCAAAGGCACATCAGTGCGCTAAACGTGGCCATCACTGGGCACCTTACCCTATGTAATTAGCACATAAAGTAGCGCATATGTAACACTTACAAACGCATGCTTGGCGCCGTATAACTCCATGCTACAACTGCAAAGCCAGTGGTCAGTTTACTTGCCATAAATTTGGCAAGCCGTTTTGGATGCCAAAATTTGGCCAGCTTTGGTCAGAAATCTCCATAAGCTTGCCAAATTTCGGCACGCTGGGGGCCATTTCCGGGACAAGCTTGCCAATTTTTGGCATTCAAAACTGCTTGCCAAATTTGTGGCAAGCCAACTTACCACCGGATTTGCAGTGTAAGCCTCGAAGCTTAGGCATTTGTAAGTGCGCACTTGCCAAGGATGCGTTTGTAAGTGTGTACATAATGGACAGTTGGGTTTCAGGTGCAATCCTCGTGTCTGTGGCTGGCAGCGTACCATAGGTCACGGCGGCGGGAACGACGCCGAATGCAACCATCGTGACGAGGAAAGGCTTGAGCGGGGCGAACAGCCCCTCTGTCGGGGGCACTGCCTTGCCGGCCGGGGGCTGCGGCGACCCTCGGACCCACGCCGCGAGCGTGTGCAGGGCGAGCCATCGCGACCGAGACGTCGACACGCCGCCCGCCTCCAGCTGCTTCTGGTCGTTCCACGCGGGCATCGCCCCCTGGGACCGCCAGCACTCTGAGCAGCTGCACTCGTCTTGAAAAGGCTTCAGTCACAAGTGATCCTCTGAACAGCGAGAAGAGTTCTCCGCACTCGGTTTCACAGTGTCCCCACGAGAGAGCGCGCTGCACGACATGGACACGGTAGCGCCCCGGAACGCGACTGGGCTCGGGACGCCCTCTGCAGTCCCCCTCCCCCTCGTCGGCACGCATCCCCGCCTCAAACCTCCACCCCGCACAGAGCACACACCTCCCCCTTTCCCCTCGACGCGCCTGCAGGTGCCGACCACGTAATGAAATGACGCCCTCGCGTGACCCCGACCCCTGAACAGCCTCATCCACTCACGTGAGCCAACAGAGGAGCTTACACGCCTCGAAGTAACTTTCCGGGAAGGATAGACAGCCAAGGCGTCGCTGAAACGCTTCGATGGACGATGAAACCGGTCGAGGCAAGGCGACACTTGGGTGGATTTAGGTGGTGAGCTTTTTGTTCTTCGAGTGCCATTGAGGAAGAAAAAGTCTTGATCAACACCCAATTATGGGCAAGGCATAATTTCTCACCCGAATTTGGGTTTTCTGAACCAATTTTGGTTGATAAGGGGAGTATCAGCTGCCTGTACGGCCAGACAGTATTCTTACCCAAATTCGGCCCAAATCTCGGTGATAAAATGATCCACACTCCAGACATTAAAACGAATGTGACACATAGTACCCACGTACACATGTCGTGTCACATCCAAACGAATGTGACACCTATGTACTGTCACGTCGTTTGAATGTGACATGACCACTTCGTCTCATTAAAACGAACGTGACACCCCTTAATCTGAAAATCATGGCGTGTCACATTCAAACGAACGTGACAAAGTGGGCATGTCACATTCAAACGAATGTGACAGTACATGGATGTCACAGTCACATTTGTTTGGATGTGACACGTCATGTGTACTTGGGTACCATGTGTCACATTCGTATTAGTGTGACAGTTCGACAGCTGATTGCGTGTCACACCCGAAGTAATGTGACAAAGTGGTGCAGTATGTCACATTCGTTTGACTGTAAATTTTCATCGTTTGTCACGCTCAAACCAACATCGCCGTTTTCACGTGAAAACGAACGTGACGTCACATTCCTTGGCTGCCGGTGTACAAAGCATTTCTTCTTAATACGAAGCAGTTCTACAACGCCTTCAGTTTCTTCGTAGTTATGCAGCCAATGCTTCGTAGGCTTTTAAGAGTGAAGGCTCTTGCCCAAACCGTTTGGGGTATATCCCTCTATTTCATGTAAATATTTCATGTAACTTTCAAACTGGCGTGGTTTATTCCGAAAGCAGAATCCTACGAGAAGAGTAAGCCGTTTATTCCTTCATCACATGGTTGCATAGCACGTTGGCTGACTTCCACCCGCGGCAGCTGGCTTCTTGACAGCCAAAGCCGCAGCCCTCTCTTTAGCGGTGCAGTCGTAAGCCGCCTGGGGGGAGGCCATGCACGACGCTGGGTACGCTGCGAGGGCCCAGGGCAGAGCGACGGCCACCTGGAACAGAGCACCAGTCAAGATAAAAAACAAAGACAGAACTCAAACATTATCCACCTTAACTCTGAGAAGGTCGGTCGTTGGAGAAGTTAAAGAAAAGAACCTCATTCGTGCGATTTCATTTCGGAGATAATAGGGTGGTCAAACAAGGCAACACGTCCGCACCGGAGTTTTGGCTTTGTTTTTCACTTGAACGAAAGATAATTCGCCCAGGTTGTCTTTTTTGACCACCGCAGCCTCTTCCTACCATACACTTCTCTCAAAAAAGTCAACCGCGACATCACGGTAAAACCGCACTGAAAACATTAGTGTGTACTGAGTACGCACTTAATTTTTCAGTGCGTCTCCTGTGAATAACCCTCCAGGGAATCCGAGGAGATATGTTTACAGTAAAACGCGTTTCAGTGACAAAGGGAGGCAAGGACGTGAAATTTGCCCTTTCGCTCTCAATGGCTCACGATCTGCAGACTTACGAGGACAGCGAGAACAAAGAAGAGGGCAAGTGTCTTGGACGCCATGGTGACTCGTTTGAATACTGTGACTTGTGAGAGCCCTCTTATACCGATTTGAAAGTACTCGTCAGTTGACGACTTGAACGTCGTGCTGCGAGAAATCGTGCACTACTCGGATTCGCTCGGGGACAAATGTGAAAGTCGTGACAGCGCAACAACATAATGCAATAAAATCTCATACATTTGACGAGTAAAACTATTGCAGAAACTATTTACAAAAGATGAGCCTGTCTTAACAATAGAAGGGATTTTAATTAATTTTGGAAGTGGAGATGAAGCGCCGTGCAAATATCGGGTCACTACTTCGGAGTGGTTTGCGAACCACTGATGACGGCCCTATTTTAAAGCCATGGGGATTGCAGGTTAAACCGACGATGGACCTAGGAAGGAGGGGGAGAGGAGTTGGAGGGTGCATTAAAGTAAGACATATGTAAGAGATCTTACTAAAATAATGTGACACAGACAAAACTGGACGGGCCTTCTATTGGGCAATAGAGGTATACAGATGTAAAATACGTTTCTTTGGGTTGCTTCGGGCGACTTTGTAACATGTCGTGATGGACCTTTTTGGGAACGTGCATGGGTGTGGCTTCGTCTCAAAAATTCTCTTTTGCGTGCGGTTCATCATAGTTCAAAATTAGTGTGTGCCTAGTCCACCAAGACCCCTTAAAAAAAACACAGAATAGAAGAAATATTTATAATAATATTAATAGAAACAACAACACAATCGAGGCGTAAAATTTGTACGGTGCCCCGCGGTCCCACGATAAGATTGCACATAGTTATTCGTGCCATAAGTTTCATGAATCAGACTTGTTTGTATAAGGGAGAATGGCAGCAGCTGCGCGTGTCACGATTTTCGTGGTATTCTTTCCCACCCGGGGAGCGTACCGGAGAGCAATAAGTACCGCGGCGGGCCGTGGGTCGGGACAAGTCGCATCCCGCCATGAAGGTCGCCACAGTCATCCTGCCCGCCTTGGGGCTCCTGCTCGCCGCGCAGCAGGCCGTGTCCGACACGCATTACGTATGTTGGAGTAAACGCTCGATTTTCTACTGAGAAATGCTGCGCTGTAATTATACCGAGCTCATGCTACACAAACGTATCATACTACTGAGAAACTTTTCTGTACTGCAGGGATCCTTAACTTAACATTTAACTAACACTGCTTTCATAACGTAACATAAGACAATGTTCGCTCAAGGTTAAGGGTACGGACTTATGAAAGTACTTGCAAAAGTATATCGACACAAATTCGAGACATAAAAAATAACCTACACTGTCCGGGATTATTTTGTGAAATTACGATTAATTGTCTGTTAAATCTGTACCACGAACTGCTCGTAAATTTCAAAAACGATCTGATCATCCATCTTTTTTTCGTCAATTTACAAAAATATTCTTATTTACAAATTAATCCTCAATTTGGTCGTTCAGATTTTTTATTCTTTAGGGGGGGAAAAACCGGAGCAAAAGTACTTTCAGCTGGCTTCAATGGTCTTGTAAAGTCGATCCCTGCAAATGAAGGTCGCAAACAGTCATCCTGTCAATTACATTGGCTCCTGTACAAAAACGTGCAGTCGTGTGACAGATTACGTATTCTTGGAAATAAAGCTCGTTTTTGTGAGAAATGCTGCGCGTTATTAAAACCGAGCTATGCTAAGAAACGTATCATAAAACTAGAACTTTTCTGAAACTGCAGATTTCTTAAATTTAAACATTTATCCCTAAACTTTTGATAACTTTTAACATAAGAAAATTTGTTCGTCAAGTTAAGGTAGTTATTTTATGAAAGTATTTGCAAAATTACGACACAAATTTTCGGGATATAAAAAATTTTTAACATTTACCCTTTTGAAAAGATGTTAGAAGTTAAGGGTAATAACACTAACTCTTATGATAACGTTATGATGCCCTTATGAGGTAAGTTAAGGATCCCTGACTGTACTGTCACTCCAAACCGAAAAGGTATACCTTTGCGGGCGATACAGATGTGTTCGCCAATGAAGGGCGGCACAGAAAATCTAAGAGGCGATAGACGAAAGTATCGCCACAATTTCGCAAGGAACTTAGAATTCATTAGTATTTATTGCCCAATTTTGTCCTCCCTTCCACGCGGCGACAGGCACGTTTTTGTTTTTAGGTAGGCAAAAGGCACGTCTTTACCCCTAGCATTTCACTGACAATGAAAATGTCTTGATCAATACCCCATTTTGAGTATTGATCCGGCCTTGATGAAATTTCTAATGCAATCCTCAAGAAAACAGGAGAAAATCTTTTAAAACCGCTTGCCCATATTATCGACCTATCTTTCCAATCTGGTATTTTCCCACATTGTTGAAAGTATAGCAAGGAAACAGCTCTCTGCAAGGAAAAGGGTGATGGTCATTACCTGATAGTTTTCGACCCCTAAACCTTTATTTGGCTAAAATGTATGAAAAATGCTTCCATAATCGTATTATAAGTTTTGTAAAAATATGAATGGAATTTTAGTTAAGGAACAGTTTGATTTTCGAAAGGGACTCTCCACCTCTCACGCAACTACTCTTGCTATGGAATTAAAAACTGATGCTCTTAAATGTAACCAAAAAGTACTGCATTAATTTTGGACATGTCCAAAGCCTTTGACCATCTTAAACTTCTTGAAATACTTAACGATTATGGCGTGCGAGTTATTCCAAGTACATGGACCAAATCCTACTCAGAAAAATTCCATCCGCGCCTGACACGCGCAAAGGCGTCCTTTTTTTAAAATGCTATTTGACATCGGATCCGCGCTGTTTCTCAATTTCAGGACAACTTCGTCGCGACGCACGGCTGGAAGTTCGGCCACTACGTCGGGGCGTGCACGCTGGCGGCCTACAACAAGTACCCGCAGTTCGGCGCCGCTGCCTGGGCCGGAGTCTGCACCTGCCACACGAGGGCCGTGCAGGTGTCGCAGGTCGGCGGGGTCAACATCGGACCCTACATGCGTAGCGTCATCACGTGCACCCTGACCAGCGTCGTGCCCGGCGTCGCTGTCATCGGAGCCGAAATCATTCACTGCACTGCAGGCAAAATCAACACCTACGTGGGGCAGGGCGGCAAGTAAACCAGGACCAAAGAGTAACTGTACTGCGAAATAAACGTGAAACCATTACTGACAACAAATTGATAGTACACCTGACAACTTCTTTTAAAGCTATCCCAAAACATTTTCGTTGATTTTTTTTTTCGTGAGTCCCAGTGTTAGGTGCATGAGAGCTGCGGTGGCCGCTATGCTACCGCGGCACTTTTTCAAGCTGTATACTCTGAGACGGATGCTGGATGTCCGATTTTGTATGCGTGACGGTCCTTTCGAACATGGCTGTTTTGAGGTGCACGAGAGGGGTGACAAAGAAAAGCAAACTGGGCCATTGAATTTTCTAAAATTAATTTTTATTTTTTGTACAGTACAGAAGAACTAATTTTTCTCTATATTTTCGTAGACTGTCTCCTGAGAGGGAAAAAAGCATTAAAGTCAACTATCTCATTTCATTGGCTGAGTGGGGTTGAAAAACTTTTTCTGTCTGTCTGACTGTCTGTGTTCACTACTCCTCCTGAACGCCAGGGTGGCCCACTTTTTCTTAAAGTTTCAAAAATTGAGGAGCGCCGTCCAGATTCTGAAAGTAGGTGTAAAATCATGAATTTTGATATAAATATGATTAGATTTGGACCATGTTTAGGGGTCCATCAACGCACCTGAACTTCAAAGAAAAATTGAAAATGGACTGGTTTACTAAAATCGATGCTGTTTCGAGAGTCTTTGACCGATTTTCGATTGCAAAACGGCGATCTTTTCGGAAAAGTGCGTTTCACTCGATGATGTACATTACATGACGATCAAACGCATTGCCTATTTTCCAGGGGCGTGCAATCTCGTTTTTAGCCCCTAAATCCAACATGTTCCTGCGCTTTGAAGGTGTTTGAGTCGTCTGATCGGATTGTTTGGGGTACCATTCGACGCGCCTGATCAAAACCATTCAAAAAATGTCTCGGGCGTCAAAATCGGTTAGGTTGCCTACTGTACAGGAGCAAAAACCACTGAAATTTTCCGGTAAAGTGCACTTTTGTGATACAAAATATCTGGTTTAGCATCTGGTCGGATTATTTGTGGTGCCATTTGACGCGACTGGTCAAAAACTTTCGAAACCGTCGCAGACGTCCAAATCCGTGGGTTGCCTATCCTCCAGACGAATTTTTGACATTCGACATTTTTTGCTTGAAGGGTCGGCAACCCACCGGATTTTGGACGTCTGCGACGGTTATCGAAAGTTTTTGACCAGGCGCGTCAAATGGCACCACAAAAAATCCGACCAGAAGCCAAACCAGATATTTTGTAACACAAAAGTGCACTTTTCCGGCAAATTTCAGTGTTTTTTGCTCCTGTACGGTAGCAACCTAACCGATTTTGACGCCCGAGACATTTTTTTGAAAGGTTTGATCAGGCGCGTCGAATGGTGCCCCAAGCAATACGATCGGACGACTCAAACACCTTCGAAACGCAAGAACATGTTGGATTTAGGGCTAAAAACGAGATTGTACGCCCCTGGAAAAGGCAATGCGTTTGATCGTCATGTAATGTACCTCATCGAGTGAAACGCACTTTAATGAAAAGATCGCCGTTTTGCAATCGAAAATCGGTCAAAGACTCTAGAAACAGCACGATTTTAGTAAACCAATCCATTTTCAATTTTTCTTTAAAGTTCAGGTGCTTGATGGACCCCTAAACATGGTCCAAATCTAATCATATTTATATCAAATTCATGATTTTACACCTACTTTCAGATCTGGACGGCGCTCCTCAAGTTTTGAAACTTAAAAAAAAAGTGGGCCACCTACTGAACGGCTCGGCCGATCTGGCTGAGATTTTGCACGGTATTGGGTATGTCCTTGGCTCGCCACACGCCAAATTCACCCTTCTATCTTAAACCATTATTCGGTGAAACCAATCAAAAAACACTTACAAATCGGCAAAAAAGGGCAACTTTTCAGTGCCTTTTAACTTTGAACCAAGTTTTATATCGCTTCTTCTGTCTTTGAGGGTGCTGATTACGAAAATAGGGTACTTCGGAGAAAACCCAGACCGGAAGTCAGTGACAGAACGGGAGAAACAAAAGGGCGTCGGGAGACCGTGCTGAGCGGTGGAAGGGGTCGAAATCGGCGGGGTGGGGGCAGAATGCGCGCGCCGCCTTCACCCCCACCACCGCTCAGCACAGCCTCCCGACGCTCTTTTGTTTCTCCCGTTCTGTCGCTGACTTCCGGTCTGGGTTTTCTCCGAAGTACCCTATTGAACCCATTCCGACTCTTTGCGTGCCGTTCAGCAAGGGACGGAGCCTGCCGAAGGCAGGCCAGCGCCGCAGGCCAACGTAGGTTTAAACGCTAGGCGTGGATTGTCGTGACTGGCGCAGCATCGCGAAGCCTGTTACGACAAGCCATTGTCTGGCGTACACCTACCTTGTATTCAAAGATTACATGCACTTGTATTGTGAGGCGTTACTTATAGATTCTGGCCGTGAAATGCCATCCTTTTCTTCAAAGACAGACTCATAATCTTAGGCAGTCTTCTTTTCACATGCAACATAAGTATCAGCGAATTTTAGTGCTTCTAGCCTAATAGGTATAATTTTTCAATTTTCAATAACTCGACAGTGAATATATGACTTTCTTACCTGCTGTTGTTTAGTTCTTCATGCTTGGTTTGTCATAAGCTTGACAAGTAGTTGACTGTTCTGAACATCTTTCTTCTTGCAAGATTCAATTATAGCTTCCAATCCTTTCTGACATGACTCCACTCTCATCCCAGGAACGTGACATCACGTTCGAACGAATGTGACAAAATGTCACGTTCCTTTGAGCATTGTGTCACATTCGTTTGAATGTGAATAAGCTCATTTAGGGCTGATTCACATCGGAACAAACGTGACACAATGCTCACACGAACGTGACATTTTGTCACATTCGTTTGAACGTGATGTCACGTTCCTGGAATGAGAGTGTCTTCAGCAGTTTCTGACATGCCTACCTTTACAGCTTCCAATTCTTTACAGTCGTCTTTCACAGCTTCTAATTCTTGCTCTCATATTCTATTGTGTTCCTTGTGGACTTCCTTGTCCTCGCACTGCCTGACCAATTCTTTGTTTTGCTTGTCGCATTGTTCTTGAAGCATTCTTATGGGAAGTTGCCAAAAATGTGGGTCCTTTTGGCCCCCAATTTGTTTATTCCGAGGGGGAAATCACTCGCGTAATAGTCGGGACACCGATTCCTAGTATTACGCGTAATAGTAATAGCGTAATAGCCAAATTTTTAAAGATTTTCCCTAATTAGGGTCCGATTTTAGACTAAATCTGGATATTTTCGAACATAATAAGCCTGCTGTAATAGCGTAATAGAACGTAATAGGGAGTAGTCGGGTCACAGTTTTTAAGAGTGATTTCCCCCTCGGTTTATTCTTGAAATGCTTTTAATAAAAAATTCGCAGGTGTATGGGGCTAGTGTTCTAGAACTGATTTCTGACTTGGGCCAGGATTTTCGAGTGATAGTGACGAAAATAGGGGTAAAACCTTTTTTTTTCGTCGGCACGGAAATTACACGACTGGCTCGGAAGTTACATTTTCACATGGTAGGCTACTGAACTTGGCCAGTTGCTGTGGGGAATGTAGGATTACTCTCTTCAAACGGAGCGTTGTGAGCTGCGTCCAACTTTAAGGAACGTTGAGCCCCTGTGGGGTAGGCCAGCCACCGCGCTTCGGTGGCGTGCGGGCGTGCCTATCCTATATCATCATCATCATCATCATCATCATCAGAGGCTGGACCACACATGATCGTATGCCATTTCGGGCCCGACACATGCCCGCCTGCACTGCAAAACGGAACATGGTCGTCCTTACTAAGGTGACACTTTAACTCGGCGGAGGAACTCAGCGGCTGCACGCTCCGGCTCGCAGTACCAGCCTTGGGGTTGGGGGCCTGTGTTCCCCCGGAAGGGGTCACACAGACCTCCGCCCCGGGACAGTCTCTTTGCGCACTACCGAGTCCGGTGCCCCCCTGCTTCGTCCCACAATCGTGGGAACCAGGAGAAATTCTTCTTTGTCTTCTTTCTTGCGGCGTTGGTGCTATGTTTTGATTTGGTTCTTCGCCCTTCCCCTTTCTTCATGCGACCATGCTGGCGATGACTTGTTCAGAGCGAAAGGCGCCGACAGACTCGCCAGCCGCACGCCGACTAGTTGCCCCCCAACGCTGGGCACGCCGAGCTGCCGGCTACACTCCTGGCTGCACCTGCAATATTGGCGAAATGCCTTCGCTTTGACACCCCCTGCCGCCGTCCCCGCGGCAGAACTCGGCCGGGTCGCTGCCCGAGCAGGCCAACACCACGTGCTGGCCCGGCATGCCCGTGGCCGGACAAGCCCGGACTTGTCGAAAACCTCGGCGGCGGCGGCACTCGCGTCTGAAAGGCGCCGCGGCCGAAGCAGTGCGAGCCGGCGACACGGCTGGAGAACACCTGCAGGCTGTAAAGTTGTTGTCTCCTGTCGCCCGACGCCGCCCGGCCCGGGCGACTCGGCTGCACTTCCTAGGAACTGGGTAGGCAGCGACCGCCTCCCCCCCCCCCTCCCCGGGGATTGGCATGCTGTGCGCGGATCGGAGACAAAGGGCCAGGCGGCCAAAAGGGCCCGTCCCGCTGCTGACGTCCGCTGGCGGTCGGACCCCACTCGTGCGCGGCCCCGTCGCCGCATCGTAGGGGCACAAGTCGCCGGTTTTGGTCTTCGGCCGCAAGGGGTCGGGCAGGGTGAGTCGCGCCGTCGGTCCCTCCCGCATGGATACGGCGTGCGTGGTGCATGGCCAAAGCCCTCGGTCGCACTGCAGCCTGCGCCGCCAGCGTTTCGTGGATAAACCTGTGGAAAAACCCGCCACCAGGCTGTGAAAATTGTCAGGGGCTGCGTTCCGCGCGGTTAGCTGCTGCTGGACCCCGCGTTCGGTTCGCAGGGCCGCGGGGCGCGCCTACGGCCCCTTCGCATGTCCTGGTACCCGCGGCCGTGACAGTGGGTGCACCGGTGCACCCGCGCAGGTCAAAGCTGGCTGAGAGTCGGCGCCCGGCCGCCGTTGCGACAAGCGGGAAATCCACGCGGAGCCGGG